ATATCGTACATATATACATACATATTATTCATACCTTCGGTGTATAGGACGCAAACAGATTTTGACATCAAATTTTGTGGTAAAAAAAAAGTGCGTCTTATACACCGAAAAATACGGTACTCTTGTCTGACCTAATAGTGAGATTTGACCATCACTCTTACAGCGCACTCACGGTCAAATATGCGAAAAGCGGTTTTGCGGCGACTTTATGTGAACCATAAACCCTAGGATTCATGTCCGAGCACGCTAATAACTAGGCTACGACCGACACAGATTCGTATATAGACAAATGGATAGATAAACAAACAGATAAATACTAATACGAGTTTTTTCCTTCCACGTTATTTTAATTGCGCTCGATTTTTCTACAGTTACAATGACCGAAATCGTGTAAAACGACAAGACTCGCTATAACATAATACCACAGTGAAAACAATCTCCTGATAAAATAAACTTAAAGCCTAAATGTGTACATACATATATATATATATACATACATCACTTAAATATAAAAACCTATCCTACAACCAATATCAGTTTCTTGCAAGTCCAAAATACAGCCCAATATTAATATCCGAAAACACTATCTGCTCAATTTGATAAAACTACATCTAAATACAATCTCCGAGTGTTATATTACTTCCAATACCGCCAGATACTACGAGATATTGGACACGGATTTTCTTATTCAAAGCTATATACAGACGAGGCGTTCCGCTTGTTCATTCAACATTACGTTTCTTATCAGAAAATAAATCATCTATCTCTCTCATTGAGAAGCCCAAAACACTGTAATTTTAACTGTGCGAAGAAACTCCCGGGGTTGTTTGGAAGCACGGGAGTTGAGCAGGGTGATACTGCAAGCATATACGAGGCTATTCAATGTCTTTTTGTTATTTTTATAGATCTTCAGTCAACTGTCGACGACAGGTTCTATCCCTAGTTGTATACATTGTTGTCAAGCGTGAGAAACGAATCTGCAGAATTCCGTGATATAATTGCATATCTTCAACAACAACGTTACTACCGCACGAGACGAGACTACTATACCAAAAATTAACCATAGATAAACATACAAAGGCTCACGTTTACCGCACGAGATATCATTACTTTGTGAATGCTAGAGGAAGGACAATTTATGTATTCTCGTACTCGTATGTTTCGTAACACACACACACACACACACACAGAACTATTACACAGAACATTAAAGTCGTGTGAAAAGTGTTGAGACTTCTCACCATTACTAAGGGTGTGCGCGGCACTTGATTGGTTGTTCTGCGGCCACGCAGCTTAGAGAGAACACTGGTTTCAGCCTTAACGTTCCCATGAAATTTGATCAAAAGTTATTAACTGAAAACCGCGAAAATGCCCTATCTCACCATTATAAAAAATGCTTCAAAGTGATCCGGATCAAATTCGGGGAGGACTGTCCCATATTGACTTCCCATCTTGCGTAAAATTATCGTGTACACCGGTCTATCAGTTTTCGAGATACGCGCGCGGAAACACAGACAGACACATACCCAATTGCAATACCAGCTGAATCCTAAATTCTATATATGAAAAGTTCCTCAGGAAAACCGTGCTGGTCGAAGTTTTTAGTTTCACATTTTTTTGTGGTGATGATAAAAAGGAACGTCAAAAATTATCTAGAACTGTATCTACACAATTTTTAACAGTACTTAATATTGACCCATTTCGTCTTCATTTCATTATAATATCATATGTCCATTCTTATAAAAATTTGAAAGCAAGAAGCCCCGGTAAAAACTTTCCAACGTTTTCCTAAAACACAAGACGACGTATTAAAATAAGGATCAAGGTGTGTTCTCTACTGAAGGTGACACTCCTCGGAAAGCATACTGTAAGGAAAGCTAGATAAAATGTTCAGCACAGCAAAAAAAAAAAAGAAAGAAAGAAAAACAACTGCACTATAGCTATAATTGCAAGTCTTCTAACTTGGTATAATCATTAGTTTATTCATTCTAATTAATCCACTAAAACTTCGTTTAAAAGTCTTTTATAAGACTTGTTGACCCAAACAATAACTGGAATGCTTTACCTTGAATTTTCTTTTATATCTCCTATACTCTTTGTCCTTCTGTTTTGACTACTACTGGATGCTGGACTGGGAGTACTTACTTTAAGATCTCAACTCCCCCCTCCTATTCTGATTTATACCTTCTAAAGTTTTTATAACGAAAGATGGACGGGTATAGGAATGAATGTATGTATGCTTCAGAATACTTTTTTTTTAAGTTTCAGTTCAAAGTCACGTGTATATTTAATATAGAATACGTTAAGCCTCGATTGCTTAAGTACTTCAACGCTCGAACAGTATCCGTGTTTTGAAGGTGTCTAAAAGCAACTTGATTCAAGGATGCTTCATAACTGACGTAATTCAGCAATGTTCGGAACTTTACCATGTAAACAAACTGCTTTGTCACACGTCATGACAGCCGAGACTTGAGGTAGATAGATGATCCCAACGCTTAACTACAATAATGTAATAACTTTGGTATTATGTAAACAGCTGTCAATAAAACACACATTATTCCCACAAACAGAAAAGCAAATATTAGTATATATATGGTAGAATGGGCTATTCATATGCGGATTATATATCCACCAGAACTCACTATAGAAAAAAAGCTATTCTCTAAAAATAAAACACAATGGATCTAGACATAAACTTGGAAGTTCAGTTAATGATGCTTGCAGTTTTAAACAAAACACACTTTCAACACTTTCACTTTGTAGTTATAAACTTTCCATTCACAAATGCTTATATTCCGAATAGTTTTCTACTACTCATAGTTTATTAGATAAAACAGTACTTGTTCATCATTACAAGATGTTGTGGAAAGAGCTCCTAAACTCGCTCTCGCTTTTCAAAATCGAGATTCCTCATTGCGCATTAAACACACAATTCATTCATTAGTTAGCCAGGCCGCGTTTTTTGTTCAACTTGGAGCATGACGGTGGGTAAAACAAAATATGCTGCCTTGTTAACTAATGAATGAATATTTGCTGCAAACTTCTTATCAATGCTATAAGTGTAGCTACCAGTTTGGCCGCCAATTTTGATTCCATTCCTTTAAGTAGCACACTCAATCCGTTTTTGGCCACAACTTTTTTCACATCAAAGGTGTTATTGATTAGATACCATGAATTTTGTCAATACAAACCAACAAGTCACAGCAAGTAAGAAAATGACACCCTATAGTAACCAACATTAGCTTTAGGATCGTAACCCTATTATTCGAAGCAGACCTATACAGAACCAGCCGGATCCTCTAAAATATTTGGTGGCAGTTTTTCCTCTCTGAAACGGTGTTAATAACTTCCTTTATAGTAACGCCATGGAATCTAGATTAACAGTTTATTGTCATCACCCGCATGCATTCGTACAGCCGTATCAAGCATCATTATTTACGCTAATTGTTTAAGCTAATATCACGTGACGCTAAACGCTCTTTAATTGGAAGAATTTCATAAAATTTAGTAAGTTTGTGCTTAAAAGTTGGCAATTAATAAATAATAACCGCTCACCCGTATGATTTTTTGAAAACTTGAGCTAGGAACTACTAATCTTGTTTGCTTGGCCTAACCAATACTTATGTATTTACACGTGCTTTCACCCGCTAGTATTGCTGCTCTAAGTCAGCTGTCTTTAATCCGAATGACAAAAAAACTAAAAATTGTCCATTTTGACTCTTAAGTGAAGCTGTAGTAAAAATGTTAGACCAAAAACTCATGTGACTTATTGCGTAAGCATGCGCAAACATTTTGGTCAAAACTCAGGTGATTTTGTTGAATAACTTTACACGCGTAATTTATATTTAGACCAAATTTGAGACCTAACTATAGATTGTAGAGGACTATCAGTGTATTAAATTACAAAAAAAATCAATAAAAGTTAAGTATATTTTTCTATCAAGTAAAGTTTGTCTTTCGGTGATGCGAATGAAAAAAAATTGGAGATTTTATACCTTGTGTATTTCTTAATGAATTGCCTTGAAATTTGATATGTGAAGTAAGAGTCCAGTAATGTACATTAACTGAAAATATATGATAGTTTGGATTACCACAGTCCAAGCTACTAAAAGTGGAAAATTGCTAAACTATCACTCCTGTTAATAACAGGTTGTTTTGGCCACACGACATACTATCGTCTGTCTTGATTAAATAGCAGTTCCGTACATGTTCTTATAATCTATTAGTTTAGTTACTGTACTTTATCTTTTATGATTAATGTCTTTGACACATTAACACGACCGTTGTTGAATCTTTCCTTCTCGAAGTATTATTGATCTTCACTCGGAAAAGGTTTATAGTGTTTTCTTTCGTTTTTTTTAATATATATACACGAGATCTAACGTACTTCATTACCATGCGTTTGTTACTGGGGTTACGGTAGTATTTATTTTAACACTAAATATTATGTTTAGCACGTTTTCTTGATATCGCATTTAACTGCTGTATTTTCATGAACAGTTCAGGTTTTTTTGTTTTGTTTTTATCTTTATAAACGTCAGTTTTTGTTGTACCATTGGAAAATTACTGCTAGAAATTTGACACAGTTTAACAAGTAACATGTGAATACAGATGTTTCCCTCCTCTAGGTGTGGCTTAATGAGTTTTCTTTGGTCAAAAGACACGATATGTACCATAGAAAATAAATAAGTTACACTTAGTTCACGTTTTCAAAACAATTATCTTGTACAACAGACCTCAAGCAGACAACTCGTGTTTTTCTGTTCCCTAGGCAAGGTTTAATATACATATCCGTTACTTTCATCCTGTTGTGGTTTCATATTGTATTGCATTGCTAGCTTAATATATTTATTTAGAGCTAAACCTAAATCTTCTGAGCTGGCCTAACCTCATAAGTAATTATTGGTATTGCGACCGAAAACATCGCTAGCCGCAAGAGTATCCGACTGATGAATCTGTGCATTCTAATTTTTATACGTAGGAACATGTATTTATTTAGCAATACTGATTGCCAGGTTTTTTTTTAATTTCGTTCTATGTGCATGGTTTGTTTTGATCGGAAGTTAATATTAATAATAAAGATGGTGTCACATGACGTTGGTATATTGTGTGACGTTACGATAATTGTCATGTTATCAGTTTGACCGACAAGTATTCATTATATTTTGAGCTACTGCTTTAAAAATGTGAGAACAGAATACAACAAAAAATGAATTGCAACAGAAGAATGAAGCGTGTAAACAGAACTTAAAACAAAACATCACGCAAAATCATCTTCAAGCTGTGTGATTCTACGCAGGTTTAAAACGGTGTGTCATGAAAGACACTTAAACAAAAAAATTCTGTTTATAATTTGTTTCAGAAGAGGAAAAAAAGTGTGCGTTTATCCTGAATATATAAAAATCATAAAAACTGATGTTATGAAACAGTACGAATTACTAAAATGTCATTAAAACACGGGTTATTTTTTACCTACACATTAACTAGAAAACCAGATTTTATCATACAAACATCTGTAGTACGGAGAAGATTTGATGTACTGTTGTCTTCAAAAATTACGTACTGTTCTACTCCTATTATACGGCACTTTGAAAAATCACACACACAACAAAAGCGCTTAGTACAGAAGTAGCCAAAAAGTCATTGTAAGTTATACAGCACAGAGACAGAAAGACCTACAAATTTCAATTAAAAGCTTTAAATCGAACATTAACGTGAAGAGTCAGTGGTGGATCTAAAAGTCAACCAAAGTTTGGTAGGGTGGACTTAAAAGAACTAAGTCAGTAATGTTTATTTAAGTTCGTGCAAAGCTACATTAGGGCTATCAGCATTGGCCAATCCTGATTTTAGTTATATACTAGAGGGAAGGTAACTAGTCAACACCACCCATCGCCAACTCTTGGGTAATATTTTACCAACGAATAGTGGGATTGAAAGTTACATCATTACGTCCCGCCCCACGGCTGAAAGGGAGAGTACGATCGGTGAAGGGATCCGAACTTAGGATTCGCATATTGTGTATCAAGAGCCCTAACCACAAAGCCATGCTAGGCCTAAATCAGAAATCATAAACCGTAGGATAATGCTGAACTTAGTTTTGAATTAAGCATCCAAACAAAAGGTAATGACAAATATACCGTGTTGTCCCCTAGGCCTTACAGTTTCCTATATTTCTTTATTATTACCGAAAAAAAAAAAGAAAGACATAACAGTGTTATCCACCAGGCCTTATGGTTGTCCTTTAAGGTAAAAACAGAGAGAGGTAGATTACAAAATGTGTTGTCCTCTAGGCTTTACAGTTTCCTATATTTCTTTATTATTGCCGATAAAAAAAGAAAAATATAACAGTGTTATCCACCAGGCCTTATGGTTGGACTTTAAGGTAAAAAGAGAGTGAGAGGTAGATTACAAAATGTGTTGTCCACTACACCTTACAGTTTATGCCTTTTCTTTACGATTTTCAAAAATAAACGGAGAAAGAAAGATAATGTATTACTGTCCACTTAAGATTTGCACTATTCTGGCTGTATTGGTTAGAAAAAAGAACGTGGACGGAGAGATAACACTGACTTGTCCGCTAGGCCTTACAGTTTTCTGTCCATTATAGAAGTAAAAAGAAAAAGGGATAACCTTATATTGTCCACTAGGCCTAACAGTTTTTTGTCCTTCATGGAAGTAAAAAAATATATCTAGAGGGATAACCTTATGTTGTCCACTTGGCCTTACAGTTTTGTCCTTTATGGAAGTACAAAAATATCTAGAGAGATAACATTAAGTTGTCCACTAGGCCCTACAGTTTTCTATTCTGTATGGAAGTATAATAAAAAAGAAAGAAAGAATAGCGTGAATTTAACATAGCATATCCAAACCTTAGATGAAAAATAATTAATTGTAATATTACGTAGAAAATAAAAGCAAAAACGAAAACAAACAACGCAGCTATGGTCACACACCATAAGGTGGGTAGTTATGCGCTGTGCCCTGGTTTTTGAGGTACTGGCGGTAGTAAGACCCAAATTGCGTTGGGGGTACATCGTCTATCCAGTTTAACCTCAGTTTCGCAGGCCTCACATTCTTAATAATAATAAATAAAAAGAGCAGATGTGGAAACTCTAGCCCACAATGTCCTACATCTTTACTACCTTTTGCTGTCTGCAGCCAGACGTGGAAGGTAGATGCTCAAAAAATAAGTAAATTGTATCACTTTCCCAAAATAAGGCCTGCTAATATGTAACTCTTATAGTTTGTTTGCTTTGAATTTCGCGCAAAGCTACACGAGGGCTATCTGCGCTAGCCGTCCCT